AATTGAAATGAATGACTTTCAAAATCAAACATGCTTGATCATAGATCTGTAATGTAAGACATTTTGCCTCTCAAGCCTGTTCCATCATACAACAAAAACACACCTGATTTGGTTGTGCCTTTAAATCCTGTCCACTGGAACCTTCAGCTGTCTTGTATCTCAAAAAATCTGTTCCTCAACTTAGCTTTGAACATATGACTCCACTCATTTCTGGGACAATGATTACCAAAGATTTACAGCACTCAGACAAGAAATTGCTCTTAAGTTAAGAGACCCCTTACACTATAGCCCCTATTTCTGGATTTGCCAACAAGGGGAAACATCCTCTTAGCAATGACCTTGTCAAACGTTGTCAAGATACCCTATGTGTTTTGAAGATGGAGATGCATTCAAGAGGCTTATATTTGTGCTCATTCTTTCTCCCCACAACGAGTTCCCAGTCCAGATACTCAATGGATGAGTTACAGCCAGATGGAAAGGAAAGAATTTCGGTCAGTGGAATACCAGCACAATCTCAATGTGGAGGCCATTGATCCAATTCACACATAAGATGTACCATACAGGACAGAAACAAAGGACTGAATTTAATGCCTGCCCACCTGGTGCCCTGCCCTCACCAAGGTGACTTTAGAGACAGGTGGACATTTAACTGAGTTGGCGGGCGCTAGATAAAACTTCTTGCCTCTAGCCTGAGGTAAATTCAGAGACACACTTCCTGCCCTGCTACCCTGAGTGGACAAGGTCTAATTCCATTGTCACTGCTATTCAAGTACTGGTAGGATGGTCCAAAAACAAACTCTGGGATATTTACTTGTGGGCTGCTGGGTAGAGGGAGAGAGTCTCTAGTTCAATAGGCACCCAGCCTTTCTAACTGGGACCTGGTGGAAAAAACCTTCGCCTTGCAGCTTACACCCATCTCCACACTTCATGACTCACTTCTCACCTTTTACACTTTTGGTCTAGGGCCCCTCAGGGGTCCTAGAACACTAGTGGGTGTGTTACAAACAGCTGTCTTTGCTCCCAGTGACACTGTGTAAAGAAGAGCTGTTCAGATTGCCTGAAGCTCTAAAACCTTGCCCTGAATTACTTCTAAAAAACATTCCCATCACAGATGCTAAAGTCGAATCAGAGATAGTAGGAACTGCAGATGCTGGAGAATCCGAGACAACAAGGTGCAGGGCTGGATGAACACAGCAGGCCAAGCAGCATCATAGGAGCAGAGAGGCTGACGTTTCGGGCCTAGACCCTTTTCTGATGAAGGGTCTAGG